TGACTCCAGAGAAGTAGCTTGGGCCCCTGGGTCAGTAGCCCAGTGATATTACTACTTAGCCATTGTCTAACAATTTATGTTTTAAATTACAGTGGAAGGGGGGAGATAGTGGGAACTGCTGGTGCTGGGGAATCTGAGATAACAAGGTGTAGAGCTGGATGAACACAGCAGGCCAAGCAGCATCAGAGGAGCAGGAAAGCTGACGTTTTGGGTCTAGACTCTTCTTCAGAAATGGAGTGGAAGGAGTAGGGATGTTGAGGGAGAAATAAAACAAAAGGAGAGAGCTAGTTTGGTTGGAGAATAGAGCTGAATGGTGCAGTGTAGGTAAAAAGACTAAATAATTAGTAAATGGTAACAGCAGAATTAGATGTGCATTTGAAGAAAATGGATATGATGAAGAGATGCCTTTGGTGCACTTTTTATTATGAAGATTTAAAGCTATGTAAGCTTCATTTCCACTAAAGCAAAGTATCTATTATGACAAGTCAGTATAGGTTTTGGAGCAGAGACTATTCCAGACAGTAACGAACAGGGCAGTTTGATAAGTGGCATTCATGGGACTGTATCCCTAATGGAGGATGTATAGCATTCCCCTGTGATATGCAATTGTGATGTCTCAGGTGCAACTACAGGCCGCAGTTGCTAATCCTGTTCCTGATTTTTCTATCACATTTTAGGTGGAGTGCAATTCTAGGCTAAACCCAACCAACACAACACTGCTCAAGGTGAGATTTCCCTGAAGCCCTAGGGCTTTCTTCTCCGTGTTCGGTGTATTAAAGCATTACATAAATGTAGAAGAGTCAAAAAGAAGTGAATTCAACAAGATCTTTCTCTAATGAGCATACTTCCACAAGCAGCAGTAAGTTTCATTTTGGCTGATCAGTATTCAATTCTACCGTGTAAGCCCGCTTGGTGAATATCCCCATCCCTGACTTAATGGCTTGGGAAACATCAATGAGGAAGAAGCTGAGGGCATTCTCAGGGCTTGCATCACTGAGCAATTTCTGTGGAGATGTCCTTTGCCAAGCTTTCTGTACGTCAGGTAGGATTCCAGTCATAGGGCCATAACAGCGTGGAAACAGACCCTTCAGTCCATGCTGAACATAATCCCAAACTAAACTACTCCCACCTGCTTGTTCCTGTCCCATATCCCTCCAAACCTTTCCTATTCATGAACTTATCCAAATGTCTTTTAAACCTTGTAATTGTGCCCACATCCACCACTTCTTCAGGAAGTTCATTCCACACGCAAACCACTGGAGTTTTCCATCGACCCCACTTCTTATTGGCATAGTGAATTGAGTACTTGTCTAATCCAGAATAGTAATACAGTAAGTGAAACTAGACAGTTTGCCTCTGGTTCTGCATGCTTCCTTTACATTTCTTTAAGTCCTGCAGTAAGATTGTTGAATTGCCAAGCAACTGGAATATTGTTGATCATTAAGTGATGAGACAGTAATACACAGCAGCAGGAAATGCAGACCATTCAAATACTGGTTCTGTGTTGCTTTTGATCTGCTGAAAAGGCTAGAGTCAGGTTGCACTTGTACAGTAATGTATCTTCTCTTTATTGGCAGATGGCTGATTGTGGAGGACTCCCACAGGTTGTTCAAGTAAGTAGTTAATCCTGGCTCTTTCTATGAGAGTACTTGTCTACCTCCTCTGGACTTGTTCATTTGAAATCAGATTCTAAATTGCCTGGGATGAACATTTCTGATCGTGGCTCACTTGGGATGGACATCTGGAATTTGTTTGTAGTTCTGGTATTTCTGTTTCTCACACTACTGCTGAACAGGAATAAGTAAAAGCAAAGTGACCATAGTCCTACTGGACTGTAGTCTGGTCTTGTTTGAGTGATAGACAACTGGTAGTGGTTCAAACGAAGCGTCACCACGCCTCAGGAGAGGAGATTAAGAAGGTGAATTCTTCATGGTGACCTCAGTTGATATGGGAATTGAAGGTGGCATCATTAACCTTTTCAACAGTTATACCTCAATGTTTGAAAGTAAGACAGTTCGAGATATTGAACACAAATCGGTGTAGCTTGATGTGTACCATCCTTTATTGAAAACAATATTTCATCTCTCAAACAACTGTTGATTTTTCTTTCAATTTCTTATCCATCAATTTGTTTTGCTTTGCTTTTGACTAGTGTAATTGTATCTGATGGAATGCAGTTATACCTCCTGTTTTTCCCTGTGTGAATAATAATTAGAGATATGTTAATGAGATTGATAAAATTTAGTCACACCTTGTCTGATGTCAGTGATGGGTTCCTCGTAGAGAGCTATATCACAAGCTGGATCCTGCCCTTTGATCTACACATCCCTGTGGCTGGGCTCAGAGTGGCAGACACCCTAAATCTCAATGAGGAAGGATCAGTGGAACAGAAGGAAAGAGGGGGGAAAGAAACCAAATCATAACAGGAATGTCTCCCACACAGGGTTGAAGTACGCAAGAGAATGTGATTCCCTCTTTTAGAAAAAGCGTTATGACCAAAGTATGTTTTCACTTGCCTCTTCATTGAGAGCTCTACTGAAATGTTGGTGACTTATTCGTCCATGCCTGGTTTGGAGTGGGGCCAAGGGGAGAAAATTTTCTCCATTTATGTTCCTACAGTGAGAACATCCGATTGCCTGCAGTTGCCCAGAGATAGAGCTCTGCTAAGGGCTTGGAGCAAGGGTGCTGAATGCTGAAGGGTTACCAACGTTTTTAGTTATCCCTCCTCTCCTGTGAGGAGCTGTCTGCAAGCCAATGTACTTCCTTACAAAACATAGACATGGCTAAAAGGAAACAGAGTTGAAGCTTTTAATCTTGCACTCATCAGAAGCAGAATGCAAGAAACACATTTGAGAAGAGATAGTAAGAACTGCAGATGCTGGAGTCAGAGATAAGTGTGGAGCTGGAGGAGCACAGCAGGCCAGGCAGCATCAGAGGAGCAGGAAAGTTGACGTTTCGGGTCAGGACCCTTCCTTGCTCCTCTGATGCTGCCTGGCCTGCTGTGTCCCTCCAGCTCCATGCTGTGTTACACTTGAGAAGGGACACCATTTTATGTATTATGCTCGGAGGATGCTGATTGGCTGGGCTATCATTGACATGGGGATACAGCAAGAACCATTAATTTTCAGACCAGGCAGGGTAGATTCTGATTGATTAAGGTGTTGACATGGGAATACAGCAGAGTTTGGCTTTATTTTTAAAAAGATGCAACATTGTACAGCTTCCTTTTGCCTACATAAAGTAGGGGTCCTGTGTATATATGTATGTAGCTCCTAATAGTGTACCTTTTTCCAATTAAGGGTTCATGGAGCCAACCAAATGCTATTGCATCCCCATGGCAACAACCTGACCAATCTGAAACTACCTGCCTGTTCTGAGAATTAAGACTGACCAGTATCTGTTCTTGCTGCATCTCCATGCCAGTTATATCCCAGTTTATCTCCTGCTGTAAGCTGTGTTTGTGTGATTGTACACCACCCATATGATACTGTGCAGGTTCTCTCAAACTGCCCTCGCAAAATACCGTGAAAAAAACTCTAAAGGAGCTATCAATATAATCTCCAATTTTTTTTTTGTAATGTACAGGAATTTTGTTTAAGCACAGGCTTGATTTTTTTATTTTGCTTGGCCACGTGTGCACAGGGTAACTTAAAGGGGCAACTTGCAAGAGAACATTTGGTTCTGCAAGCAACGTGCTGCATGCCAGAGAGGTAGCATCAGGTACCACAGGCTGAAGAGGGCAGACTGCACTTAATGCTAAACATCTAGAAGCAATTTTGCTCCACAATCCTTAATCAAACTAATAGCTTCTTATCTTCCCAACTACTTTCCCAGCCAGTGCTTCTTGTCTCTATTTAGACTGCCTCCTTCCTCGAGGAGATGTCCTGGGGGAGCCATGCTTTACTACTGGCTCCAATCATCATCATTTCATAGAATCCCTACAGTATGGGAAGAGGCCATTTGGCCCATCGAGTCTGTGCTGACCCTCCAAAGAGCATCCCAGCCAGTACCATATTCCCCATGAACCTGCATAGCTAATCCACCTAATCTGCACATCTCTGTACACTATATGTCAAGTTAGCATGGCCAATCCACCTAACTTACACATCTTTGGACTGTGGGAGGAAATTGGAGCACCCGGAGGAAACCCACGCAGACACACGGAGAATGTGCAAACTCCACACAGACAGTCGCCCAAGGCTGGAATTGAACCCAGGTTCCTGGCACTGAGAGGCAGTAGTGTTAACTATTGAGCCACTATCATTTACGGTGTAGAAAGAAGCCATTTGGCATATTATGTCTGGACTAATGCAGTGCATGTCTATGCAATGACAGAGCCTTGTTCAGAATTTGCTTCTTATTTTGAAATGTGTTAGCAAAACTAAGTATGATGATTTAATGATTGTCTGTCTGTGTTTGCACCCTAGCCTGGCAAGCTGACCGAAGCCTTCAAGTACTTTGTGCAGGGAATGGGTTACAGTAAGTATAACCTCCTGAACCTCAAAGTTGAGATATTCAGCAACTTGTTTTCCAAGCCTGCATTTAGCTATTGTTGGTTTAATGATGGCGAAAGCTGCTTTTTATCCTTGTTACTCCAGAAGACTTTTTGACTTAATGCAAGAATTTCAGACTGGATGGACCCCAGAATGTGACACTGGTGGGTGGGATGGTGGTTTCTCCCTCAGAGTGGAGAATTGGAAAGTGCAGATTTGTTCGGGTAGCGCAGTTTCCCAGGATTTCAGTATTTTACAGCAGGTTACGCACTGAAAGTCTGTGACTCTCACAGCCTCATGCAGGATCCATTTGGAATCTCCTGCATGGTTTCCATAGTAACTGTTCACATGTAACTTTTTAGTTTTATTCGGGATGACAAGGCTCCCGCTCCCCCCTCAGGGCAGTTCTGTACAGGTGTGAGCTTGACATGACCCATTAAATTGATTTCATGAAAGCCTTGTGTGCCTGTAAATGGTAGAACTTTTAAGATTACCGTTTAAACTCTGAATTTCTTTTTAATCCAATCATGAAGCACTTCAATTATTAAATGCTTGGAATTAAATTTTGCACCACAGGATTGAGCAATTGAGCCCAAATGGTTTGGCCAGCCCTCATTCTGAGCACAAATCACCCTCATCTGACCCTTTTAGCTTTCTCTCAAGCATACTCATCTGTCTTCTCCTTAAATTAATCTATCACTTCAACCATGTTCTTCAGGTAGCATATTCTACTCAAACCATTCTCAGAAAGACCTTTTCCTCCTGAATTCCTGATTCATAAGAAGCCCCCATTTTTTTTGTCCTGACCCGATGTATATCCCCTATCAAACCCTTTCAGCGTTTTCAAGACTTTTCTCTATCGGTTTTTGTTTGTTTTGTATCTTCACACTTTTTTTAACTCCCCTTCCTTCCCTCAAATTCCTCCCCCCTTTCCCACCCCTCCTCCAACTTCCTCCCCTCCTCCTTTCCCCCTTTCTCCTCTCCCTTGCTCCTCCCTCCTCCTGCCCCTCCCCTTTTCCTCTCTTGCTGTCCTTCCTTCTCCGGGCTTCATCCTCCCTCCCACACCCCTCTGCCCCGTATCATTGTTGTAAATGTTTTTTGGCCCCCCACCCCCAGTGTTCTTGTATCCATTATGTTTAATTAACATCACAGAAAAATAATACACTCATGATTTCCTGAGATTCATTTTCATTTACACTGCCTACCTTGCTGGGTCGTGGAATCACGCTAGCAATGACGTTGGGTGTTTCTTACAGCACCTCACTCTGCTACTGTATCCAGTTTACATTTTCCCGTTTTCTGAAACCTGCCTAGCGGTTCCTTGGGCTACTCTGAGCTGTTTTAGGTACCACGTCTTGGGAAGGATACACTGTCCTTCAGGTGCTGCAGTGTAGGCTTACCATAGTGAGATTTGAACTTCAGTGGTTAAATTAGAAGAACAATTACACAAACTAGTTTTGTATTCCCTAGAATTTAGAAGGTTCACCGTGATTTTGATTTCAGTTTTTAGGATATTATGAATACAGATAGGGTAGATAGAATTTTTTCCATTGGTTGGGAAGTCTAGAACAAGGTACATGCCCTTAAAAGAAATGAGAACAAAACTCCCATAGAATCCCCCTACAGTGTGGGAGCAGGCCATTTGGCCCATTGAGTCCCCACTGACCCCTCTGAAAAGCATCCCACCCTGTAACCGTATATTTCCCATGGCTAACCCATCTAACTTACACATCCCTGGACACTATGGACCAATTTAGCATGGCCAATCCACCTAACCTGCACGTCTTTGAGTGTGGGAGGAAATGGGAACACCCAGAGGAAACCCAGGCAGATGGTGGGAAAAACGTACAAACTCTACACAGATAGCCACTCGAGGATGGGATCGAACCCGGACCCCCGGTGCTGAGAGGCAGCAGTGCTAACCACTGACTCACCATGCCGCCCCTTTCAAAAGTGAAATTAGGAAACTCTTCTATGTGCAAAGTGTGGCAGATGTTTGGAACCCTGTTCTACAAATGGCCCATTGGTGATAGATCAATTGTTAACAAAAGCCCTTCAAACTCCAATTTTAAAATTAGTAAAGAAACTAGGGGGTGGAGAGAGAAGTTAGGTCACTGATCAGCCTTGGTTTTATTTCCTGCTGTGTCAGAACAGGCTCAAAAGAATCAAGTAGGCTCCTCCTCCTTCCGTGATCCTATATCTCTTGTTGTTGACTCAGTTAAATTTATAATTTGCATTCAGTAGATGCTTCTGTACAGTCCCTTAGCGTTTCTGTGTGGTGTTGTCGATTTTGAATGGTGAGCCGTAAGATCCGTAAGATAATGGGGGAGTGCCTTTCTTGAACAAACTAGTATTGTACACAGGCTTAGTTTTCCCTGTCTGACCCAGGGCTCTTGGAGTTTGCTGCTGTTTTTTTGCAGCTTCTTTTGCTTCGAGGAAATGGAGGGGAGTTTCTTAAATGTCAATTTCCGTCCGGTATTTGTAATTATGATTCGGACATGAGGGGGAGAACCCAGTCTCAGTAAGGTAAGTATTGCATTAAAGTGCAGGTCACGCTTTAGCTTCAACAGTGCAGGGGTATAACCCAACCAGGTGAGGTGGTTAACTAACTGTCCCCATTACTATCTTGTTTACAGTGTTTCACCGTCATTGTAAGTACTTGAAGCAATGGGCTTGAATGTCTGCATGCTCTGGGATGGGGTCTCTTATTCACTGCTGCTGTTTTTTTAATGGGGAAACAGCCCTGGGGTTTCCTTTTTAAGTGGAATAAGAAGACCCAGTATCAATCTAATAGAAAATCTCAGGGATAGTAG